GGAGGGTATATAGCTACAACAAAAAAAACCCCAAGGCTCTCAAATAGGGAATTTGAGGAGAATTTGATAAAAAAAAAAAGGCCTGCATGGGCTGGGTGAGAGGCCACTCTAGCGGGGAGGAGGGTATATAGTCCCTGCACTGGGGGTGTCACCTCCACCAAGGCCTGGGAGCACAGGCCGACCTGCGGAGTTGAACGGAGAGGGCTTGGGACGGCAGGGGTAGAGCAGGCTGGTGGGGAGACCGCTGGGGAGAGCACGATGGATGTGGTCTACACAGGTCAGAGTGGCTCTGGAAGGGCTAAGGGAAAGTGTCCAGCCCAAACTTTAGTGGACAGGCTGAAGAAAGGAATTTCAAGGGAGCTCACACTGGGTATGCTGGAGCACGCCTGTAATCCCAGCACTGGGGAGGCTGAGGCAGGGGGATTGCCACACATTCAAGGCTAGGCTAGGCTATACAATGAGTTCAGGGCCAGCCTGGACTGCATAGTAAGACCCAGTCTCAAAAGAAAAAAAAAAATGGCAGGAAGTGAAGCATGGTGCACACCTGTAATTCCAGCACTCTGGGCGGCCAAGGCAGAAAAACTGCAAGCTTGAGCATAACCTGGGCAACTTAGTGACTTAGCAAGACCCTGTCTCATACTGCAAAATAAAAAAGGTAGGATGTAACTCAGTGTGAAGGCCCTGGCCTCATTCCCCTCTGCTGAAACCAAAAAGGTGGAAAATGGCAAATGCTAGAAGAAATAGCTACAAGAGTTGGAAAGGTGCTCTGGGGTAATGTGCAGTGAGATACAAGGCACAGGTCAGGGGATGGCTCATTTCCATTACACAGTATATCCACTAGAACTAATTTGATTTTTTATACTTGAATTAAAGTAAAGGAAATGCCAGGGTGGTGGCACACACCTGTAATCCCAGCACTCAACCCAGAAGGCTGAGGCAGGAGGATCGCTGTGAGTTTGAGAGCAGCCTGGGCTACATAGTGACTTCAAGGCCAGCCTGAACTGCACAAGGAGACCCTGCCTCAAAAAGCAAACACTGCCGCCTGCCTCGAGAGCACAAGGACCCGAGTTCAATCCCCATACTGAAAAACAAAAAAAAAAAACAAAAAAAGTTAAAAAAAAAAGAAAAGAAAAAAGATATCCAGTCTAATCATGAGAAAGACACCAGACAAGTCTTGACAGAGAGCTATCCTACAAAATACCCGATTGATGCTCTTTAAGACTGAGAAGGATAAGGCCAGGCATGGTAGTGCACACTTGTCCCAGCGCTCAGGGGGCCGAGGTAGGAGAATTGCTGTGAGTTCAAGGCCAGCCTGGGCTACACAGCCAGACCCTATGTAACAAAACAAAACAACTGCCAAGGCCATCAAATACTAGGAAAGTCTGAGGAACTGTGAGGGCCAAGAGGAAACAGACATGACACACATTGTGTGGTACTCTGGATGAGACACTGGAAGAGAAAAAAGACATGAGGTAAAAGTCGGGGACATCTAAATAAAGTGTGGGGCTTATGTAATGAAAATATACTAACACTGGGGGACCAGAGAATTAACTCAGTGGCAGTCCTGAGTTCGAGCCCCTGTGCTTGGAAAGAAATATACCAACACTGCTTCACTGATTGTAACAAAGGTGTTATACTAATGTAGAACATTAGTAACAAAAAGCTAGAGGACCAGGGATTTAGCTCAGTGGTGCCACCGCCTGCCTCTCAAGCGCAAGGTCCAGAGTTTGATCCCTAGTACAAAAAAAAAAGGCTAGGAACAGGAGAAACGCAAACTCTCTTTTTCTGTAAATCTAAAATTATTCTTTTAAAAATCGATTACAATAAAAAGTCCCAAAAGATAATGAGAAACTATTCATCGTTTCATTGTTTATGCATTATTTGGAGCTTTAGTGGGGTTGAATTTTTTTTCCAGGCTTTTTAGTGATTCTTGGATTTTAGACATTAAATTCGCAAAGTTTAGTAGTGATCATGGTTACTCATTCATTAAACAGTTATGTATCAAATGCTGGCTAAAGGCCAGGTGGGCAGTACCACTGCACGGCACTTGGGTACGAGACCCTCCCCTAAATCTCAGAATCTGCTGGCTGCTTTCAGGCTCAAAGCCGGGCAAGGGCTGGGGTTGTAGCTCAGCGGTAGAGCGCTTGCAAGTGGGAGGATGTGGTTTGCTCCCCAGTGCGGCTTTACAGCTCCTGCCGGTCTCGGGGACTCACCTGGTACAACCCCCACACTCTGCTCTCCAGCCGCAGGAGCCCTTTTCAGTTCCCGAGAATCGCCCTGTTCAGTACTGATCTGGGGCTTTTGCCCTGCAGTTCCTCTGCCTTCCTGGGATTCTGACTTCTTAAAACTCAGGTCTGAATCCGGGTCGTTTCCTGTCGCCGCCGCAGAAACCGACATCCCGAGAGGATGGCTTGCGCCCCAAATCGCATGGATGCTGAGACCCCGTATTTGGCCTGTTGCCCCCTGAGCTGTCCTTCTCCTAAAACTTAGCACCAGTTGGGTAACAGCGGGCACGGGCATCTGCCCCGCCGATTTGGTCCTGAACGACCTCGGGCCTGGACCGCGCGCGCCCCCTCGCGGGCGCCGTGGAGAAGACGCCAGACGCTTCCTTGGCTTCTGGAAAGGGCCGGGAGGGCCGACGGCGACGGCGACGGACGGAGCGCGGTGGGGCGGCTGACGCCGGGCCCCTGCCCTTCGGGGCGACCGCCGGGATTCTGGAGCATGGGGTTAGGGCTTCAGCCTCAGTTCGAGGAGCCCTGGGGCTCATGTCCCAGGCAGGACCCCGGGTTTGGGACGGATTCCCGTGCCCCGAGTCTTGTGATTTTTTTTTTGGTTCGGGGAGAAGTCGAACTCAAAACCTTGCACCTATGATTAGGCGCGGTGCCACTGAGCTAAGTCCGCGGCCCGGAGTCTTGTGATCTTCATCTCTGAAGTGAGGATGATGACACCAACAGCATTGGAGCCGAGATTGCTGGCTGGGTGCCTCCCTCGTGCCCCGCAACCCGGCAACCTTGGGGGTTCCGACAGAAGCGGGGAGACGGCTCGCGACCTGCCACCAGGCTTCACTTACCAAAGTCCTGGGAGACTGAGAGTGGGAGTAGAAAGACATCCTATACTTTTTTTTTTGAGCCCAGGCTGGCCTCAGCTCATGGCCATCCTCCTGCCTCAGCCTCCCAAGTGCTGGATTACAGGCCTGCGCTGCCACGCCTGGCTAGTATTTTGGGGGGTACAGGGAATCGAACTGGGGTCCTTGAGCTTGTGGAGCAGGCAGCCGCACCACTGAGCTAAATCCTGGCCCTGATACTTGTAATTAAGGATCAAGAACCTGATTAGGTTCTTGCTAGTTTGGGGAGTATATGTGCATTTCATCAACAGCTTATTTTAAATTAATTTTACCTGTTTGATTTTCAGTTTCACTCCTACAGGGAGAAGTAGCAACAGTTTCTTACTACTGTGTGCCAAGCTGAGTGCTGCACAGTGAGGTCAGAGAGAAAGGTCATCAAGGATGGTGAGGGGAGCCTGGAATCCTGATTCGACATGCCCAAGCCTGCTCGTGGTGGGTGAAATCGGTGAGGTTTCCCCGGGCCCTCTGGGCAGCTGTACAACCTGCTCACTGAGGTGTCAGGAAACCATGGTCCTCGGAGGTCATGTGGAGGCCTGGCCTCCTCCTTTTAGCTGAGCTTCTAGGACAGCCAAGCCCATCCCCAAAACATTCTGAGAAATCTGGATAAAAAGAGAAGATGAAGAGGATCAATAGCAAAAACCAGACTGAGAATGACATTTTTAAATGCAGATTTATTGTCTTAATTTCCTGACCAGATTTGACCTTTGGGTGTGTGCAGTTCCCCTCCACCTCTACACATGCTTAGGCCCTTTGTGGAGTCCCTGAGAGCTGTGGTTCGAGCCACGTTCTTGGTGGACACGAATGCTTTTCCTGTGTACTCCCTCCTCTGGTGGAAAAGCTGACGCAGTCGTGCAGCAGGTTTTGAGCGGCAGTCAGCAGGTTCAGTCTGCAGTGAGCTGAGGAGAGGGGCATCCGTGGGAGGATGTGGGGCCAGGAAGGGAGCAGGAGTGTAGCTTTGCCTGCCCTGTCATCAACTCAGATGGGGACTGGAGTAAAACCCAGAGAAACTCTCCTCACTCACAGGCCCTCCTACTGCTCTTTCCTGGCATTCAACTCCCCAACAAAGCGAGAACAGCAAATGACAAGGACATGGGAACTCGGTCCACCCGGCTAAGCGGAGCAGCAGCTAAGAGGGCAATGAGATGTCGAGCTTCTGGCAATTTTCGATATGTGTCATTCAGCAATTCCCAGTTTTAGGAATGTATCCTAAGAACACACTCAAATAAATGTGTTAAATAAATATATGGGGTATTTAAAAATCTCTAGTGTAAAAGAAGTCCCTCCATGTGGAGTTGGCAAGTAAGTTATGGCGCATACAGAGCAGGAAGGCACACAGGGTAAGGAATCTCAAGACGGTATAGGGGTTTTCCTTGGTCTTTCACCAGCACCCATGCGGCCCTGGCCATTTCTCAGCCTGGAGCACCCTGGGCCTCTGAGGACCTCCCCTGCGTGTTAGAGGGTTCGGAATGAGCTGGAGAGGCCCCGTGTGTCTGTCTGCAGGGTGTGAACAGAGCCCTGAACCAACCCGAGACAGACTCTGGCTGCCGGCCTCTGTGGACCTGGCTCTTCTGCCTGAGCAGTTGGTGTGTTATCCCCCCCGCCGGGTCTGTCAGAATTTCTGAAAACCCCAGCATCAAGGTGGAATACAGAACATTTCTACCTAGCAGTGCACACGGACGGGAAGGCCCAGCACCCGAGCCTTGTGATGGATGGCGTTTGGGGAGCCCCACCCTATCCCCCTATCTCTGGGAGTGATGCTGGGTTCCAGGTGGCATCCAGCCTCCGAGGTCAGACAGGGCTGGCTCTGTCCCCCCTCCCCAGTTCCTGGAGGAGCCAAACCCTAGGACTTCTGCCTGCATTACTTTTTCTCTCCTAGGAGAAAGCGGGGGCCACCTGGCCTGTCTGGAGAGTTTAAGCAGAAAGATGTGGCAGCTTGTCTGGGGCCACCAGGAAAAGAGCTGGAATCCTGTGCTAACAGGAGAGTGGCTCAGGCCTGGGGACAAGAAGAGGTGAGTCTGCGTCTGGCAAGGGATTATGCAGAGGAGGCTGCTTTGTTGGAGGGACACAGTGGCAGCGTTGTAGGCAGCTAACTTAATTAGATATCTTGTAGGCGGTTCGACAAGGCCGCCCTGGAGGAGTCAATACAGAAGAAGACTGAGACACTTTCAAGGAAGGGCAGCATTCTAAAAAAGGAAAAAGTATTACACCCACCTTGTTCTCCTAGAGGTGAACAGCGGCAATTGATACGCTAAATAGGCATCAGTGCCCTTGGGTGGGGACGAAACCTCCCTAGCCCTTTCCTTCCTGGAAGTCTCGTTCCTTCCTTGTGTTTGCTGTGTGACTCGCTTCCCCATGTGACCCCCCTTCAGTCAGCATTACCTGTAATCTTATTGGTTGGCCATGGTTTTGTCCACCTTGTCCTTGCCTCACCTCTTGGCTTTGCTAAATAAAACCCTTTTGAGAAGTGGGCTGGGCGGGTAACCCACTATGGGGTTGCCCTTCTGTCCCTTAGATAGAAGCTATCTTTCAATAAATTTTTCCTACTCTTAACTTCTGCTGTTCCTAGAATCTATACTTCGGTTTTGGAAAATGTGAACTTGGAGTTTAGATATCTAGCAGGTTAGGAGTTATATTTCCCTTATTTGGATTCCTTGGTGCCCTGTATCAATGGTTTCCAGGGTTTGCTGAGACAACACTATTGCAGACGGCTAAGTTAGTTAGAAATTCTCGTAAGGTAGTTAGACAAAGCAGTGCCCTCAGCATAGAAAGACCTTCACTGGTTAGCATTATAAAAAGAAAAGAAATACTACTTCCCCTAGAGATGAATAGCAGCGATTGATATTCTAAATAGACATCAGTCTCCCTAGCCCATTTCCTTTCTGGAAATTCCTGGTACGTGACTTGTTTTCCCATTGGATCGCCATTTAATCCATATGACCTGGGTGACTGTACTTGTAATCTCATGGGCCGGTCATGATTTTGTCCCACCTCATGCCCACCTTGTAATTTTCCACTGGGTCTAATAGTTTTGTCTCACTTTGAACCCTCCTCACTTCATGGCTTTGCTCTATAGAACGCCTTTAAAAAGCGGGCTGGGCGGGTAACCCACTTTCTGGTCACCCTGTAGACAGAAGGTATCTGTCGATAAATTCTTCCTACTCTTAACCTCCGTTCCTAGCATTCATCCTTCAATTTTAGAGACCACTAACTTGAATTTTGGATGTCTGTCAGGTTGGGAATTATATTTCCCCTATTTGGATTATTTTTGTGTATTTGGATGACTTGCCGTCTATCATTTTTTTTGGATTAGTTGGTCCCCTATGTCAAAACCACCAAGATTGGGTCAAAGTGGGTGGTGAAGGCAGAGTAAGAGGAGGTGATATGGGAGAGAAGATGATCGTGGATTTTATTCCAAATGACTTGAGTAAAAGCCATCACAAGGGCCAGGGATTTAGCTCAGTGGAGGCAGGTGGATCCGCTGCCTGCCTCGAAAGCTCAAGGTCCCGAGTTCCATCCCTGGTACCCCTCCCCGCGAAAAGCCATCACAGAAAGTATTTAATCAGAAATCGGTGTCTGCTGTACATTTCTAGGTCTCATTGGGTCCAGAGTAGGGAGATACATTGCAGTAGAAGTGGAAGCACAGACAGCCCTGAGGAAGCTATTGCCAATGAGAACCCAGGGGCCTAGCACGGAGGGGTGGGTACACAGAGCTGAGGGGAAAAGCAGCGTAACTTTAGCCACTCTGGTTCCTGGGCCTCACATTTCACAAGGGCAAGCCTGACAAGTACAATTTTATTTTTTGACTTTATACATTTATTATTTATCTCAGCTTTGTTATTTTTTGGAGACATGGTCTCACTTTATAGTGCAGGCTGGCCTTCAATTCACTATGTAGCCCAGGCTGGCCTTATGGCAATTCTCCTGCCTCAGCCTCCAGAGTGTTGGAACTACAGGCATGTGCCACCACCCCTAGCCTGTTTTTCTTCCTTTCTTTTCTGTTTTGGGTACTGGGGATCGAACTCGGGACCTTGCGCTCGTGGGGCAGGCGGCAGAAACATTGAGCTAAATAAATCCCCAGCCCGCCTGGTTTTGATTTTTGAGACAGTGTCTTGCAAAGTAGTTCAGGCTGGCCTTGAACTATGTAGCCCAGGTTGGCCCCGAACTGAGGTAGAAGAAATAAAGCTTAGGTAGAAAGGAAACAAGGAAATAGAAATTTTAAAAATTATACTTCAAAGAAAAACCTGCAGCTTCAGAACACAAGCCCAGTTTGCTTATTATTATTATTATTTTTAATTTGTCCACTGCAAACCTGGGCGACTCCTTTTCAGCTGTAAACAGGTCTGCCCATACCCTCTTACTTGCAAATGGTCCTCTTTCCTGTAATGGGACTAACTTTTTGGGTGGAATTCCAATAGGAGTAGACCATTATTTCTCCAGGGGTGGGCCATCCTCTCCGACTGGATAAGACCATAGATCTTTGAATTCTAGACTTCCACCTTTCCCAACATAAGATCCCCAGCTCCCAGCTGTACTGTGCCTCATTTCTTTGAGCACTCACTCTGCTCTGTAGCGTGTCTTATGTCTACTTCTAACAAATCCTTCTCATGCCTCTTTTACTGACAAGTCCTGAAAATTATTTTGCTTTGCCAAGAGTCAGGGAACTTGACACTTATTTTAAAGGGGTGGGTTAAATTCCTCATTTTAGCCTCCCGGACCCTCAGTCCCAGCCTGTGACAGAACTCCTAAGTAATCCTCCTGCCTCAGCCTCTCTGGTGCTGCAGATTATGGGCAAATACTACCATGCCCCACCTTATTTCTTAATTTATTTTGTTTGTGGTGCTGGGGATCGAGCCCAGGCTTGCTAGGCAAGTGCTGTGCCACTGAGTTATACCCCCACCCCTATTCCAGGGTTTAATGTGTTTTTTTTTTCTTTCTTTTTATTGAGTTTATTGGTACAATCTATGTATACGATACAGTTACATTCATCATTGGGATCCTGTACCTTTACATAATAGGTCTTGATTCTCATTTTTCCCCTTGTCCCTGCCCTCCCTTCACCCCCTCCTCCCCTCCCCATTTACAAACACTTTATTTCCATTTTTTCAGTTTCTCATACTTTTTTCCTCTCCCTTCTTACCTTTCCCCCACCCTTCCCACTTTCCCTGCACCTTTAGCCCTTTACTTCCTATTTCACATTATTAATTATCTCATTAGGATCCTGTGTACTATTATAGTTTTTCACACCAAAGAAACTATTCGGTATTTCAGTTAAGGAAATCTCTGTATGAACATTAAAAATAGGGAATCCTAAAATAAAACTAAAAAGGAAAGTAAAAGAGAAAAGGCAATGATGTAACATCAAAATAATCCTTAATTCTGGAGATGAAAATGGTCCCTGAACATATTTAAATTGCTTCTCGCTCTTATAGTCTTATCTTATTCTTTTTTTCATTATTTAGAGAATACTTTATTAGTTTCTGTAATCAAAC